ACTCACCTCAGCCTCCCAAAGGCGCAGGATTACAGGCTGAGCCACCGAGCCTGGCTGACTTGGTGTTTTCAAATCAGTCTTGTGACATGGCTTTCACGAGGCTCTGCAGGCTGCAGTTAAAGAACCAACTCTAGGTCAAGATTAGGCTTGTGGATAAAAAAATGTCACTGGCCTAGGAGTGGTGGCTCAAGCCTGTAATCCCAGCACTTTGGGAGCAAGGCGAGAGGATTGCCTGAGCCCATGGGTTCAAGCCTGGGCAACATGGTGAGACCTTGTCTCTATAATAAATAAATAAATAAATTAGCCAGGCGTGGTAGTGGGCACCTGTAGTTCTGGCTACTTGGGAGGCTGAGGCAGAAAAATCGCTGGAGCTCAGCCGGTTGAGGCTCGGTGGCCATGCCACTGCACTCCAGTCTGGGCAACGGAGTGAGATTCCACCACAAAAAACAAAAAATAAGTCATTGGGCCAGGCTCAGTGGCTCAGCCTGTAATCCCAGCACTTTGGGAGACCAAGGCGAGTGGATTGCCTGAGCCCACAGGTTCGAGACCAGCCTGGGCAACTTGGCGAGACCTTGTCTCTACAATAAAACAAAAATTAGCCGGGCGTGGTAGTGTGCGCATGCAATTCTGGCTACTTGGAAGGCTGAGGTGGAAGGATCGCCAGAACCCAGCAGATTGACACTGGGGTGGCCGTGAGCATGCCACTGTACTCTAGCCTTGGCAACAGAGTGAGACTCCAACTCAAAAACAAAAACAAATACAAACAAAAAAAAGTCATTGAAGCTGTTTCTTTCCTAGACAGATGGGATTCTAGTTTGGGTTTCAGAGGGCAATTTGTACCATTTGCAAAAGATGCTTGATCTTTCGATCATTCTACTCTAGTAAGATTTGGAGCTCTAACTTCTATTTAGTATATGACCTTTCTGGGGTGTGGAAAAATATGTTCTGTCACCTAATGTGAGGTCAATTGTCTTTAACCCTCTGTGAAAATGGTACACAATAAGAGATTATGTCTACTGTTGAATAATCTTTTATAAGCACGTTGACAACAAGATTGTACAATGTCAATTAAAGAGATGGATCGTGACCAAGTCCACTGCTTCCTGCATCTTGGAATAACAGAAGCGCTCAGTCTAGAGATGAAGATCTTTCTTTCCAGAAGGAGAAGACATGGTGTGGACAAACATCTTCTCTCTGAATATTCACTTAGCTAGAGAACTAGGTCATCAGATCCAAATGTCCCCATAGCAATCCTTTTTTCCCCGAGAGGTGCATAAATCTTTGATAGGTGATGGACGACCACTGCCTTGTGTGTTTAGGCCTTGGACTGGACTTTGTAGCCAGGGATTTGGTGTGCGGGGCTTCACAGTCTGCAAAGAAATATTAAAATATGAGCGCATAAGCCAAACATGTCTCGTGTGAGAGGCAGACCCAAAGTGAAGTCTTTTTGGCCATGGCTTGTCAGAATAGCTCTAATAACCACGATACGATATAAGAAAATAGAACCTGTACATTCAAGACCTGCCTCCTGTGATCCTAGTCAGAAGCCTGATGTGGAGAATAGGCCTGAACTGCCCACCCAAGAGGGTGGGCATCTACATGGTAGTCTTTGGGGCTAGCCTGTTTTCTCTACATCTTTATTATTCTGCAGAAGTAGCAGCAACTATGGGATACTCTTGAAGCTGAGTAAAGATTCTTATTACTGGGATGTGCTGAGGGGAGGACCTCATTCAGTGTGAGCAGCACACTGCTCTATTTCAATCCCATTTGGCAATGCAAGGATGGCCAGGGTTGAGCTTGGGTTAAGGCATCCCCAAGAGTCTAAATAGTGCTAATATCAGACAGGTGTCTGTATTACCATAGAGTAACATGAGGGATATCCTCCTCACCCCCAAATGAAACATTCTTAGCCTGGGGCAAAAGTATAAATGAAAGCCCATTTACCATAACTTACCATATATCTAGATATTGATTGATTGATTTTTTTTAGTTGGAGTCTCACTCTGTTGCCCAGGCTGCTGGACTCAGGTGATCCTTCCACCTCAGCCTTCCAAGTAGCTGGAAACATAAGCACGAGCCACCAAGCATGGCTAATGTTTTGATTTATTGTAGATACAAGGTGTGGCCAAGTTGTCCAGGCTGGTCTGAAACCCCTGGTCTCAGGCAATCCTCTCACCTCAGCCTCCCAAAGCGCTGGGATTACAGGCCGAGCCACCTGCCCAGCTAACTAGATATTTATATGTTATAAATCAAGCTAGCAAACTGTTGAAAAAAACACCTTCTATCACCTACATTGACAAGGAGACCAGGTCTGGATTTGGAGTTCTCAGATTCTTTGGAGTTGCTTACCAGAACATGGTGGCTCAGGAAGCTGACCTGCATCTCACCCATGTCTTTTCATTCCCAGCTCTATCCCACACTTCAAGGACCTCAAAACTGCATACATGGACATGCCAGGTTGTGTGTCCAAGCTCTGTTCACATATCCCTGCAAACAGCTACCTCTTGGCCATTCCTTGAGTCTACAGATACCCACACACTAGCATTGCTGCTCACGCTTGGGGAGACAGATCAGTCCATCCATGCCTAAAAATGGGCAGAAAATTCCAGAGTTTTGGGTGTCCAGAGTGCATGGTCTATAAGGCAGATGTGGGCTCTGGTAGGAACGTCCATTTGGCCCCATGGACTTCTTGCGCTATGGGTAGGGGTGTGGCCAGAAATAAGAGTTGAAATCTTCAAAGATGAGACTGCAGGGCAGAGGGCCCTCCTGTTCCCAGGTGTCACTGCTTTGGTGGTTGTTAGCTGTCCAGACATAACATTGCTTCCCAGGAAGCGATTATATGACATTCTAGAAGAGGCAAAACTTGGAGCCAATAAAAAAAACCCTAGTGGTTTTAGGAGGCTGGACTGCTTGAGTTCAGGAATTTGATACCAGCCTGGACAATGTAGCGAAAACTCGTCTCTACAAAAATCAAAAGATTAGGCTGGTGTGCTGGTGCATGCCTGTAGTTTCAGCTACTTGGGAGGCTGAGGTGGAAGGATTGCTTGAGTTCAGGAGGTCGAAGTTATGGTGAGCCATGAGTGTGCCACTGTACTCCAGCTTGGGCAATAGAATGAGACTGACTCAAAGAAAAAAAAGATTTTGACATGAATAGATTATATATTTAAAGCATACAGTAGGCTAGGCATGATGGCTCATGTCTTTAATCCCAGCACTTTGGGAGTCAGAGGTGAGAGGATTGTCTGAGCCCAGGGGTTCAAGACCAGCCTGGGCAACTTGGCAAGACCTTGTCTCTACAATATATAAAGAAAAATTAGCCAGGCGTGGTGGCGCATGCCTGTAGTTCCAGTTACTTGGAAGGCTAAGGTGGAAGGATCACCTGAGACCAGCAGGTTGAGGCTACAGTGGCCATGAGTGTGCCACCACACTCCAACCTGAGTGACAGAATGAGACTCCAACTCAAAATAAATAAATAAAGCATATAACAAGAGAGAAGCATTTTATTAGAAAATATTGTATTGGCAAAGATGTAATTAATGATCAAAATTATTTTTTTCCTAAATGTGTTCTAATACATAGGGTTAAACAGGTACATTTTTTTTTGGAGTTGGTCTTTGTTACCCAGGCTGGAGTACAGTAGCATGCTCACAGCCACCACAGCCTCAACTTGATGGGCTGAGGTGATCCTTCTGCCTCAGACTTCCAAGTAGCAGGACCTACAGGCTTGTGCCATCATGCCAGGCTAAGTTTTTTTCTTTTTTGGTGGGGGGATTGGAGTCTCACTCTGTCACCCAGACTGGAGTGCAGTGGCTGAACCCGGCCAACACAGCCTCGACCTGCTGGACTCCGGTAATCCTTCCGCCTCAGCCTTCTGAATAGCCAGAATTACAGGCATGTGCTACCACACACGGCTGATTTTTTTTGATTTATTGTAGAGATGAGGTCTCAGTCGGGTCTCGAACCTGTGGGTTCAGGCAATCCACTCACCTCAGCCTCCCAAAGGCACGGGATTACAGGCTGAGCCACTGAGCCCAGCTTTCTTGTTTTGTTTTGTTTTGTTTTATTGTTTGTTTGTTTGTTTGTTTTTTGAGTTGGAGTCTCACTCTGTCGCCCAGACTGGAGT